TTTTCTCCAGCCGCCTCGTCTCCATCAGCACATTGTGCTTGGCCAAGAAGGTGCCCGTTAAAGCCCTCAGGAGAGGGCGTGGACCAGCCGTCTGTGGTCAGGGAAAGTCCGCCCAGGTGTCCTGGGGTGTGGTATCCAGAATCTTCCCCGTGGGCTCTGCGTGTGTGCAGACCCCCAGCTCTGCGCCCCCCCCCCAATGTAACCCCGCCTTCCCGCTGCACAGGGGGTATAATCCCAGCCTCGGCTGCGGGCTGAGAATGAGATAGTAAGTGCCGGCCTGGGCGGGCAGGTGAGGATGAGGAGGGAGAAATGTGCGGCTGCCTTCTCGCTGCCCTTCGAACCCTCCCAGGGCCGCTCAGCCCTTGAGCGTCCGCAGGCGGGGGTCCCTCACCACTGCGGGCGGCTCCTCGGGGACAAAGTGCTTGTCTCCCTGTTGCGTCTGAGACTGCACCGGCCCCACACAGGACTCTTGCGCGTGGAGGCCATGCCCACGCCCTGCACACGGCGCACATCTGTCCACACGCCTGAGCACACACCACTGAGCGGCACAAGCCTGGGCTGGACCCGGGGGAGGCGCCGTTCAACTGGGCAGTGGGTTCCCTGCGCCCCCCATAGGTGCGAGCGCCTCCCCCATAAGCCTGCGCCTCCTTCTCCCCCGGGACCCACAGCCTCCCAACGCGCAGGAGCCATTTCTGCAGAATTAACGGTAGTCAGTACCTGCCTCAGGGATGTAAGAGGGGACCCTGGGGACATCCCCGGACAGGCCATTCCTGCCCCCGCACCCCAGGGAGCTACCTCACCCCGCAGGATGTACAAGTGCCCGACTGGGGTCCCCACCCCTAACGAACCCCTTCCCGCCGTCCCCCACCCCCAGGCCTGGAACGCGCAGCTGTTCCCCCCACGTCACTGAGCCGCTCCTGGCCTCCAGCCCGGCTCTAACCGGCGCGGGTTGGCCGCCAGGACACAGCTGGAGGCCCAGCATCCCTTTGTAGCCCCCATCTGCTCCTGTCAATCTCGAGACTCCCCCAGGGACCACCAATCACAGCGCAGGCATCTCAGTTTCGTCATCAGCAGCCAATCAGCGCTTCCGCTGACTGCTCCCGCTTCGAAGTGGGAACCAGGCGGCTCCAGGCTGGCGGAGCCCCAAGTGCCCTCCCCTCCCTT